TTGGGTGCCATAATTTATTCCGTTTCTCAAAGAGTTTTCCTCTCTCCGGAGAGGTTCCTTAGCATTCAAGCCCTGGTCAAACAGAGCAGCCGTTCAAGGAGGGTGGCCTTGCTGGACTTCTCTGAATTGTTGGGCAAAATGGTGTCACCCATCTCTATTATTCCCTGGGCCCGTCTACACAGTAGATCCCTCCAGTGGCTCCTGCTCCCGTTCCAACGATCCGGAAGAAGCAACTCGAAGGCCAGAATCAGGGTCCCTCCAGGGGTCCTCTCGTTTCTTCTCTGGTGGACCAATCCCGCCATCAACAGAGGCCACCTCTTCGCGGAACCTCAATGACTCTCCGTCACTACGGACGCAAGCCTGTCCGGTTGAGGCGCTCATCTCGACTCGCTCTCGGCACAGGGCAAATGGTCGCCGACCGAGCAGAGGTGCAGTATCAATTGGCTAGAGCTTCACGCTGTCCATCTGGCCCTGTGCAGTTTTTCCTCAGATCCGCAAACATCACGTTCTCGTTCTCACGGACAACGTCACGGCCAATGCCCATATCAACAGGCAAGGGGGCACCCAGTCCATCCAGCTAATGAGGGAAGCCGAGCGCCTTTGCCGCTGGACAACATCCAACCTCCTATCTCTAAAAGCCGAACACATCTCCGGAGTAGACAATACTCAGGCGGACTGGCTGAGCAGGGCCACGGTGGTCCAGGCAGAATGGCATCTCCATCCATCCCTATTCGAGGAAGCGTCCAGAATATTCGGCCTTCCGGTGGTGGACCCTTTCGCCTCTCCGTCCAACACTCAGCTTCCACGGTTCTTCTCCCGGTATCCGTCTCACCGGTCGGAGAATCACAATGCCATGCTTGCCCATGGCCCCCAGGGCTCCTATATGCCTCCCCTCCGCTCCCGTTAGTTCCCAGAGTAATACAGAAACTCATTCAGGAGAGGGCAGACCTTTCTCCTGGTGGCTCCCTATTGGCCCAGGTGTCCGTGGTTTGCGGACCTCCGCTTTTTATCGGTAACGCCCCCATGGAGGATCCCCCCGGATTGGGTCTCCCTCTCTCAGGGGCCCCTTCTGCATCCAGAGCCTCATGGCTCCAGTTAGCCGTCTGGAGGTTGAGCGGATCCGCCTGACTAGTGAGAAGCCCTCAGTCAAGTCATCGACACTATTTTGGCCGCCAGGCGACCTTCCACTACACGAATTTATGATGCCACTTGGAAGGGGTTCTGCAAGTGGCGTAGCGGGTCTCAGATTGATCCCCTCTCTCTCTCTGTGGCTCAGATCCTAGAATTCTTCAGGAAGGCCTTCGCAAGGGGCTCGCACCTAACACCCTGAGACTACAATTTTCTGCCCTCTCGACCGTGGTCTCCTGTGATAACTACGGTTCCCTTTCTCATCACCCCCGAATTAGATCTTTCCTTAGGGGCGCCACCAACCTGTGCCCTCCCACTGTTCACAGGTTCCCCACATGGGACCTCATCAAGGTCCTCGTTTATCTTACTCGTTCCCCGTTCGAGTCTTTGAGGGATTCATCCCTTCAGTTTCTCACCTTTATGGTAGTTTTTTCTAGTAGCTATTACTTCTGCTCGTCGAGTTTCGGAATTAGCAGCTCTGTCAGTCAGGAGCGATCTATGCGTGTTCCATGCAGACCGAGTGGTCCTTCGTCCCGGCCCCACCTTCCTACCAAAAGTCAACTCTCCCTTCCATAGGTCACAGGATCTGGTTCTACCAAACTTTTGCCCTAGGCCCTCCAGGGGCAGGGGGGTCCTCTGGCACTCCCTAGATGTTAGAAGGGCCTTGCGTATATATATTAAGCGCACTCAATCCATGAGAAAGTCGGAATCCCTCTTCCTATCCTTTCAACCCAGGTCACTGGGGCTTAGGGTTTCTCCTTCAACCATCAGTCGCTGCATCAGGGCCACCATTGCGAGGTACTACCTTTCCCATTCCCTGCCCGCTCCGGGTGGAATAACCGCCCATTCCACCAGAAGTGCAGCCACCTCGGCGGCCTGGGCCACGCAAGCCCCCATCGCTGACATTTGTCGGGCAGCCACCTGGACCTCTCCGTCCCCGTTTATCAGACATTATAAAATAGATACGTACGCCTCAGCGGAGGCCTCTTTTGGCCGACGGGTCTTACAGAGGATCATCAGTGATCCGGAGGGGCCTTCGGGCCAGACGGAGTCCCACCCGTAGGACAGCCCAGCTTTGGTATGTCCCAGTCTCTGGATGCTCCGAGCGGCTCGAGGGAGAATGGGCGTTGGTTCTTACCTGATACGCCCCTTCTCGGCGAGCCGCGAGGAGCATCCAGCCCCACCCTAATTTCTCCGTCTGGTGGGGACTCTTGCTTCAGCCAAGGAGCCAATAGTAGATTAGAAAGAATTAATAACCTCTCTTCTCGTTATCGCAAAAAACTGGGGAGACGCTGCGCGATACCACGTGAGGGGCGGAGCGTTTCCTCATCTAAAGCTCAGCCTGCAAGAAGAGGACTCAGAAGCACATCCCAGTCTCTGGATGCTCCTCGCGGCTCGCCGAGAAGGGGCGTATCAGGTAAGAACCAACGCCCATTCCCCCCCACCCAGTTGCCTGATGCTCGCTCACTCCGCCCGCCTGCCTGACATTCACCTAAGTTATTTCTTTTTTCCCCCTCCCGATAATCAGCTGTAGATAAGATCAGCTGTGCCGGGATTCGCCTTGCTGAGGCCCAGGAAGGCAAAAAATGGAGAGAGGAGCTCAGCCCCCCACTCCATTTTTTGCCTTCCAGAGTCCCAGAGGAATCTTGGGAGAGCAAAAATGCCCCCCCCCCCCAAGAGGTTTCTCTGAGGCTAGGAAGCTCCCAAAACTGAGCTTGGAGGAGTGCTGCATGCCCCTCCCATGCTCTGTTCCTTTTCTTCCTGAGCCCCAGAGGAGCCTTAGGGGAGCAAAAACGTCCCCCCAGAGGCTCTTCTGTGGCTAAGAAGCTCCCCAAAATGGGTGGGGGCTGCAAAAAAAAGCCACGTCCACCCAGTCACATGGCCACACCCACCAAGCCACACCCACAGAAACGGTAGTAAAAGTTTTTGAATACCACCACTGGCTATCGTGTGTTTTGTACTGAGGAGAGACTTCCATCTAGCCACTCTTCCATAAAGCCCAGATCGCTGGACTGCTGCAGTGATAGTTATCCTTCTAAAACTCTTGTCACATCTCCAAAGCTTAGTTAGAGTGATCATCGGGTTCTTGGTCACTTCTCTTACTAAGGTCCTTCTCTCCCAATTGCTCACTTTGACCAGTGCAGCAGAAATTTTATTGTAGCCTTCCCCAGATCTGTGCCTTGCAATAATCCTGTATCTGAGCTCAGCAGGCAGTTTCTTTGACCCTGTGGCTTTTGCTCTGCTACAGTATTTCATTGTCAGCTGTGAAGCCTCCTATAGAAAGGTCCGTGCCTTTCTAAATCATGTCCAATCAATTTAATGTACCACAGGTCGTTTACCACAGATGATGTATATACACATCATCACTGTGAAAACAGTTTCTGAATTCGCTGGGAGGCTGATCCAACCAACAATCAGCTACTTGTATTAATCAGGCTGTGGTGAAGCTGGCTAGGCTGTTTGCTGCAAGGAGACAAATTGCTGGGAGACAGAGGCCGAAGGGTGGGGGCCAGCGGGTGGGCGGGGCTTTGGTAACATTCGCTGTATAAGACGCATAGATATTTCCACCCACTTTTGGGGGTGGGGAAGTGTGTCTTACACACCAAAAAATATGGTTCCATATAGATACCTAGACTCTTCTCAATTTATGTAACATTCTATTTCAGAAAGACTAAATAACTCATGTAAACATTGACTTACATAACTATGTTTATATGAGTCAGATATTTACACACCATATATTTTTTGGGTCTGTGTTGAAGACAAATTTTATGCAGTTTGAAATTTTTAGAAATGGTGTATAGGCCTTAACTTATAACTTATATAAGTCAGCTCTAAGAAACTGGTGAAAGATTGTCTCCTAAGATTGCTACATCAAGGATTTCATAATAATCATGCAAAAAGTTCCACCTTGATTTTAACATTATGTTTAATTTTTATCTTGTTTGTGAAGGTAAAGCTATATTTGCCATTTTGGATGTTTGTATTCCAAAACACTCTATTAAACTTACTTGTTCTCAAAGTCAGACTGAAAGAGTGGATACAAGAACAATGAAATTGAGTGTTCCTGAAAACATAGGATTACCTCAAAATTTTTTTTGGAGAAAAACAACAACATAGTGGTGCAAGCTCTTCTTTTGGGTTGTGGGCACTATTGTGGGCATCCCAGAGGAACATGTAAAGGACTGCTGCTCTTGTCTTTGATTCCCTTTGTTCTCCCCAATGGGTTAGAGTAGCATAATTGATTCCTTTTGAAAATTCTTAACAATTGTGCAACTTTTTAATATCTCACTTTTATGCCTGCTTTTCTTGATGTCATAACTACCTTTCCCTTTTGTTCTTTGTTTCTTCTAGCTTTGACCATCTGAACCTGCCCTTTTTTGTAATGTGGGTTATAAGTAGAAACAGCAAATTATACTGTACTTGATTAACGTGCTTTTCTGTCTTCTATTGTTTTCATTTGGCCATCAGTTGCTGAGCACGTAGAATCCCATTTGTAATTAATCAAATTTGTATTACTGTCCATCTCTCAAAAAGGCTACCTGATAATTTAAATTATGATGAGAATAAGAACTCATCCATCTAAAAGAGATCAAAAACTTTTATTTTTCAACAAATTGTTTTATTCTTAACAACCATATTTCACAACCAATAGTATAAGAAAGTGAAGAAAAGGAATTTTAAAAGCATTTTACTCATTTTCTTTAGCTCACAGTTACCAGGTTTACTTTTTTTTACACTAAATAATGTTTTATTGTCAATGTCTACAAACGCGACATTTTAGTTTTATTTTAAATATTGAACATTTTTGTTAAACTGTTGCTAAATGTACTTAAGACTACAAAAATTTATTACATCTCTGCTAAATTAAATATGTGTCTTACAGATATGCAAGCCTCTATTTCTGCTGTGCCATTGAAGATCAAGATAATGAGTTAATAACCTTGGAAATAATTCATCGTTATGTAGAATTACTTGATAAATATTTTGGAAGTGTAAGTTATTTCCTGTATTTTTCCTAGTTGTTGAAAGTCTCAGAGATAGATTCATTGGTTCTCAGTGAAAAAGGAAGTAGCAGAAAGATTTCTGTCTCTCACATTTGAATAAAGCCCATTAATGAAATCATTTCCCGTAAAACAGCATAAAAAGTAGTGATTTCCTGCTGCGAGAGGAAGAAACTGGAGAAAATACTGTTCTGAATTCTTCAGAGAAATCTCTGTTGTAGGGATATTTTTCTATATTTTCATAGGAGAAAAGTGAAATTTTGGAATTTGAAAATATGCAGTATGTATGTTAAAAAATAGCCAGTTTACAAAATGTTGTCATAATGATTATGATCAGTTACAAAACACCAATTTACTGGAAGTAGCTCCCTCCGAATTGCTAGTGCAAACCCTAGAGTACTCTGTGTATTCAAAGAGATTACAGCAAATCTATTACAGACTGGTGCCTGCTTTGCAACTCTTTATTTAACTTTTTAATTTTTTAAAAGAGGTTGGATGGCCATGGAGCAGAGTAATAACATGAATGTTTTTCATTATCAATGCTTTTCATTATGTCTTGTGGCTAAAGAAGATTGTCGGGGTTTATAGAACAATAAAGGACATTTTTTGTAAAGAGGACTAGTTCATAGGTATTCTGCATGTTGTCTTTAAAATGCTACTTTACTCACATATTCATGATTTTCTCTCTTTATTTTGTCCAAAATGGATAATACAGAAATGTATTTATGTAGACCAGGTCTGTCAAAGGGATGGGCCTTGGGCCGGATACGGCCCGCGCAGGCTGTGCCCACCCCGGCTCCACAAAGGCAAAAACATTGCAATACGTCATGATATGGCCTGCGATGCGAGTGGGTTTGACACCCCGATGTAGACTGTAGGCTACCCAAGATCTTGCAGATGCTGATCAGATTAACAGTCAAATAAAAAATGCAATACATGTAGTCCTTGACTTACAAGAGTTCATTTAGTGACCCTTAAAAGTTACATCACTGAAAAAAGTGACTTATGACCATGTTTCACATTTATGACCATCGTAGTATCCCCATGGTTACATGATCAAAATTCATATGCTTGGCAAGTGGTTCATATTTATGACAATTGCTATGTCCCCTTTTGCGATCTTCTGACACGCAAAGTCAATGGGGAAACCAGTTTCACTTAACTATTTTACTTAATTTACCAACTGCAATGATTCACTTAACAATTGTGGCAAGAAAAGTCATAAAATGGGGCAAAAACCATTTAACAAATGTTTCACTTAGCATCAGAAATTTTGGGCTCAATTGTGGTTGTAAATTGAGGACTACCTGTATTACTATTAAGATAACATCAGTAAATATCAAATAGATGTAATCAATAAATTAATGAATTAATGACTAAATCACTAATCAATGAGCTATAAGTAAGCTAATTCAAGGATTGAATGCACAGTGACAAAATACTTTGGCTAGTTTGAAAATGCCAACAGTGTTGCAGGGGTGGTGGTCATCCATACTATTGGAAGTAAAGCATTCCATTGAGCAGGGATGTCAAACTGGATTTCTTTGAAGGCTGGATTATCATTATAGTTCTTCACAGGGAAGAGGGGGAGTCGGGTTGGAGGACACCTTCTGCAGCAACCTGCCAGCCAAAATGGGATGTGAGGGGCTGCGCATGGTCCCCCCGTGCCTCATTTTTGGCCTCCATGGCCCCTGCAGCACTCTGCCTGCTGAAAATGTGCCACACGGAGCCTCCTTGAGTTTCACACCTCTGCCATAGATCATTGCAGAGAAGTCCTGTTTGGGCATTGCATCTTTCTTTCTTTAATGTTTTCTAGGTTTGTGAACTTGATATCATCTTTAATTTTGAGAAGGCTTATTTTATTTTGGATGAATTCCTCTTGGGAGGAGAAGTTCAAGAGACCTCCAAGAAAAATGTTCTTAAAGCCATTGAACAGGCAGATCTATTACAAGAGGTATACAATTTTTGTTTCTTTGTTAAAGCACACCAGCATGCTGGGCTGATACACATTATTTTGTTCCATTTCTTCCAAGTTTGCAGAAAAGCTTTTCATCACTTTTACCACATAATGCTTTATTTTTATATATATTTTATGCTGCTATACAATTGTATTCATATGGATCTAGACACTTCTCTGCTCAACTTACATTTTGCCTTTTTAATTAATTGAATGATTGAATAATTTTGTCATACTTGTATGTCTCTACTTTTTATTGTTGAAATCCAAAAATTAGATTCTATTATTAAGTGTTTTTTAAAAGTCATTTTGCTACAGCTAATGTAATTTGATGAGTAGTAAGTGTTTATCAAATAGTTTTAATACTAGTCTTATAACTAGATTAAGGATTGGAACTATATCTAGATCTGCTAATTATTCCAAAACGTCTAATTTTTCTGGCCTGTAGTATCTAAACCCTCTTGCCCTAAAGTGAATTAAATTTTGAATTTAGATTATAGTGTAGTAGCTAAAATACATTTCTTCACTTCTTATTAATTTAGGAAATGTGTTTCATGTTTATTCAAGTTTGGTGACAGAGCAGTAAATAATGCCTTTGTCATGATTTTTTCATATCTATGCTCACAATAATACTTATATATTGTAATAAAACACGAGTTTTGAGTATAGCTCTATCATGTTAGCAAAGTTTTTGTATGTTGCTTTAGGAAAATTGTGCTTGGCTTGCTATATAAATAGAAACAATTGGGTTTTTTTGGCCAGCATTACATGGGATGTGTAAATAGATGTATTTATTTTATTCTGAGGATTTATTTTATTCTGATCCCTCATCATATTCTGTCCCTTTATTTATCAGTTGAAAGTTTTAATATAGCTAATTAAGGGAAATTCATCTAGTTGTATTTGCTGGTAAAATGTAGCTTTCTTGGAAATTAGCCATTTTAGAAGGAGCTGATTATTTGAAAGCTTTACTTATTTAAAATATTTAAACATTAATGACAAAGTGGAAGTTTTCCATGTGTAAGTTATTAACATAGTGGCCTATCACAGATATTGGCAGGAAAAAAGACAGAAAATTTGCTTGTTTGTCTGTGTCAGGGAAGATGCTGAAGGTATCTTGAAGAATGTTGTTGTCCTGAGGATAATCAAGGAAAGGACAGGAGGTCAGGAATTTTTACAAAATTCCCAAGGAAATCCCTACTTATATAGCTCAGTGATTTAGAAAGAAATTAATTATGTGATATACTAACTATAGTAGAAGAAAATTAATAAAGTTAACTGAATAATCATACTATATATTATATACCTTTTAAAAGTCTTTGTAGAAGAAAAATATTCAAAATATTTTGTATGTAAAACCCATGACAAATCTGTAGCTTCTGTTCCTGTATTAATCTCTCAGAAATTAATTGTACATGCATCTGTTCAAGATGTTTTTAAAGTACCGTATATACTCGAGTATAAGTCGACCCGAATATAAGCCGAGGCACCTAATTTTACACAAAAAACTGGGAAAACTTATTGACTCGAGTATAAGCCGAGGGTGGGAAATGCAGCAGCTACTGGTAAA